GGATTTATCCTGGCTGGTCAGTTGGTTGAGGTGGTTTAAACCCAAATTTGCGGGAAGAGATTGTTGGTTTAAGGGCTGATGTACCCTATATATAATGCGTTGGCTAATTCTCTATTCAAATGACACAGATCTGTGTACAAAGTAGCATATGCTGAATTCCTGAACACGATTGGTATTTCTTACCGGTCGTGTAGTAAGGAGCCGGTATAGGCTGGGGAATTGTCGGTTTCTGTGGTTGCGTGTCATTCCGTAGAAAGATCTTTATGATCATAGGAATGGAACTGATGCAGAAATTGGTGAAATATTGGGATAGTCTCCATATATTGGAGACTAGTACTGATTTAGTATGCCTTTTTACGCTTTGGTTGAAGTTTCTCGGTGCTGTTGCCATCTTAACAGGATATATTGATTGATGCTACGCGACTATTTATCAGAGCAATAATTGGGTTCAATTGACTTTAGAAATTCTTACATCCTTTGTTACATATCGGTTCATGAAGAAGGATCCTGATTTATTATCTTGGGTATTTCGGGCCACCAAATACGTATTTAGGTGCTGTTTCGAAACCAACAGGAACCATCTCAGTACTGTGGTTGGGCGACTTTAAGACGTCCAAGAATGCACTCGGGTGAACCTTTAGATGATGAGAATGTATGTAGGGACAGAGCATTCCTCATAACATCAATAGGGTGTTTTCACTTGATGTTGGGTACGCCCCTTCTATTGACTCTAAACAGTGATTGCCTTTTCCTTTGTCGGGGTTAGATTGAGCTTGCTCATGACACCTGTCCTTCCCCAACGGGGCTACTATGGCAAGAGATTAGATATCTCGATTACTATAGCAAAGTGAGCGTGTATTAGACCGGCATCCATAACGTAAATTGCTACCGGCGCACAGTGGTATAGGAAAAAAAAAAGAGGGAAATAATTCGGTAACTTCTAAACGGTTAATCCGATTTTAATGAAATTTGGTATGCACAAAGAGGAGGTGTTGTCGAGTTTAGGTTTTGAATTTGGACCTTATAGGCCAACCAGGGGCCCGGCGGGGGGTCCTCAAATTAGGACACCTCGGCTATGTTAAATTTTTAAAACGATCCAATTTCTTCATTTGAGTTCGTATATAGAATCTCCTCATCGAGCACTATAAAAAATGTCGTCGTATCAGTAAATTATCTCTTATAGTTTAGGAGATATTCGCATTTGAATATTAAAATTTTAAAATTTTTACCGTCCTTACTTTAGTTTTTTTGATAATAGCAGGTCCAAATATTTCCGATTTTCGCCATTTTTTTTTATTTGCTTAACAACAAGTTTATATACCAAGTAGTGAAAGAATTATGTAAAAATCATGACTGAGTCCAAAGTTATAGGCATTTAAATTTAAAAAATTAAAAAAAGGCGATTTTTTGTCATTTTTTTGGGAAAAAAGTATCTTTTTCTTTTTAAGTTATCTAAAAAGTTTCTAAGAAGATGTATATAGAATTTATACTTTTTGGAAAGCTGACTTTACATAAAATACGATAAATGAAACAAAACCTAAAAATTTTTGATACCGAGGGGACCAGGTCCATCCAAAAAAACCCTATTTTTTATGGAAAATTAAATTTTGAGCAAAAATTCTCAAATCGCATAGTCGATATCAAATTATAGTGACCTGTTTTATATGACCCAATAAGTTCTTAATCATTTTGTAACGGGTTTCGATAACCCCGCCCCTGGTATGGATATAATAGGCAAAAAACCAAAAAATCCCATTTTTGGGATTTTTTAAAACTTTTTTGGGAATTCCGGGATTTTTAATAGGAAAATTCGAAATTTTTATTTAATTTTGGATTTTGAGTAAAAAAATCTACCTAACTGTAAAATTTCATCAAAAAATATTCATAAATAAAATTTTTATTGCAATTTGAAAAATTTGTATCTTCGCAAAAACTGAATAAAAAACATTTTTTAATTTTTTTTAAAAAAAGTATTCCGCGAATTTTTTAATTTTCAAAAATTATATACAGTTTTGAAAAATAGACAAAATTACCTTTCCATTGATATATAACATGCCTACCTAATGTTTTTTAAGTGACAAATTAATTAGGGAAAACTCAACATCTTTTAGAAAATTTGCCTAGCACTATTATTTTCATCCATAAGGTTAACTCTTAAATTTGTTACATATATGGATGAAAATAATAGTGCTAGGTAAATTTTCTAAAAGATGTTGAGTTTTCCCTAATTAATTTGTCACTTAAAAAACATTAGGTAGGCATGTTATATATCAATGGAAAGGTAATTTTGTCTATTTTTCAAAACTGTATATAATTTTTGAAAATTAAAAAATTCGCGGAATACTTTTTTTAAAAAAAATTAAAAAATGTTTTTTATTCAGTTTTTGCGAAGATACAAATTTTTCAAATTGCAATAAAAATTTTATTTATGAATATTTTTTGATGAAATTTTACAGTTAGGTAGATTTTTTTACTCAAAATCCAAAATTAAATAAAAATTTCGAATTTTCTTATTAGAAATCCCGGAATTCCCAAAAAAGTTTTAAAAAATCCCAAAAATGGGATTTTTTGGTTTTTTGCCTATTATATCCATACCAGGGGCGGGGTTATCGAAACCCGTTACAAAATGATTAAGAACTTATTGGGTCATATAAAACAGGTCACTATAATTTGATATCGACTATGCGATTTGAGAATTTTTGCTCAAAATTTAATTTTCCATAAAAAATAGGGTTTTTTTGGATGGACCTGGTCCCCTCGGTATCAAAAATTTTTAGGTTTTGTTTCATTTATCGTATTTTATGTAAAGTCAGCTTTCCAAAAAGTATAAATTCTATATACATCTTCTTAGAAACTTTTTAGATAACTTAAAAAGAAAAAGATACTTTTTTCCCAAAAAAATGACAAAAAATCGCCTTTTTTTAATTTTTTAAATTTAAATGCCTATAACTTTGGACTCAGTCATGATTTTTACATAATTCTTTCACTGCTTGGTATATAAACTTGTTGTTAAGCAAATAAAAAAAAATGGCGAAAATCGGAAATATTTGGACCTGCTATTATCAAAAAAACTGAAGTAAGGACGGTAAAAATTTTAAAATTTTAATATTCAAATGCGAATATCTCCTAAACTATAAGAGATAATTTACTGCTACGACGACATTTTTTATAGTGCTCGATGAGGAGATTCTATATACGAAATTTTTTTTAAATCGGAACTCAAATGAAGAAATAGGATCGTTTTAAAAATTTAACATAGCCGAGGTGTCCTAATTTGAGGACCCCCCGCCGGGCCCCTGGTTGGCCTATAAGGTCCAAATTCAAAACCTAAACTCGACAACACCTCCTCTTTGTGCATACCAAATTTCATTAAAATCGGATTAACCGTTTAGAAGTTACCGAATTATTTCCCTCTTTTTTTTTTCCTATACCACTGTGCGGCGTGTAAGAAACACAATGGGGCGGAGGTGAGTCGTTATATTTTAGCTCACCCAGTGGATGAAAAAGACCACCGTGAGATAGGCCAACACGGCAGGTACTCACGTAAAGCACTTCGACATTCGTGTGCGCAAAACACTAATCACAATTTTCGACAAAGACGATACTTAGCATCAATACCATCCCACCAGCGTAAGACTACTAATATTTGGCATATATAATTTTTATATAAATTTAGGCTTTATGTAAAGACCTCTTCCGAAGATCAGATGTTTTATAAATTTTCTTATATATTAACAAGTACAATATGTAGTCGGGCATGACCGACCATATACCCTACACCAGTGAGTATGTTAAAAAGGTTTATTACTTTTAATAATAAAGCTTTTTAGTTGTTTTTTATCTTAGTTCCGAAATATTTAACAGTTTGTTGAGAAAAAAGTGATTTTCTGAAAAGGGGTTATACATATGGGGGCCTATCCATATAAATGTTGGCAGAGGGATTTACGTTTATATTTTGGTTATTTATGCAAAATTTTATTGCTGAGAAAAGAGTGATTTTCTAAAAGACGGGTTCTATAAGTGTATTATTACCTTCAAGTCATTTTCTAAAGGGGTCTTGTATGGGGGGTAAAATCAAATATGGCACTATCATTACGAATAATAAACTTATTTAAAACTAAATTGTGCCGATTTTTGTAGGGATTCTAGAACAGTTAACATAATCATGAGCTCAAAAATCCTATTCGGGGGGAGGTTGTATGTGGGCTAGATGAAATAGTGGACAGAAGCCATTTTTAAGAGGCTTCGTCCTTGGATCCAGAGAACAGTATGTGAAAATTACGACCTCTAACGTATGTAAAAGATTTACATGGACACACAGACGATCGGACATAGCTGAATCGATTGGTATACTTTAAGGAGGACCAATAATTTTGGGTGTTACAAACAGCAGCACAAATGAAGGGTATAAATATACCATTAAATTAGAAGGTATGTGTATTTAAAGTAATTTTTTGAACAGGACCTCATATGTTATGGCTCGATTGCCATAAAGCTCGATAGAGAGATTTTGGGCCCTAGTTAATGTCAAATTTTATCAACATACCAATTTTTTAAAGAAAGGTAGCAACGTTAAAATCATTTTACTGAAGGAATAATATGGTGGATAGCGTCATTCATTAATTGAGTTTTTAATATTTGGCAGAAACATTTCGGTTCCTATATCATATTTTTTTCATTATGTATTGCAAAAGTAAATTAAAACACTTTTAGAAATATATTTTAAAATTAACATTTCTTTATTTATTTAGTTTCATTTCGTCATTTTATCATCAATATCATTACAGTTATACAATTTTTGTCTGTTAAATTAAATTATTTTATCAAGGTAATTTACTTTATATTATTTTAATTTACAGTGTAGTTCTTTTTTTTTTCTTGTTTATATTTTTAAATATAATTTATAATAATTTTTTTTCTGTTTTTGCATTTAACATTTAAAATGTTTTGATTTATTACATTAAGAGGACAAGATTTTTTGTTTTCATTTGGATTGGTATTTTTGTATTTTTCTCATATTTTTTAAACATAAATATAATTTGTATATTTGTTTACTTATGCGTGTAAATATTTATATAAAGTTTTTGCTTAATATTTTATTTAATACAATTATATGTAATTTCTTAAAACTTGCTAAATTTGTATGCAATTATTTTTTTTTTTAATTTAACTTGAAATTAAATTAAAAAGAAATATAAAAATTATAAATAATTAGCAATATTTTTTTTTAATAATTTTCTGTATTTATATATTTACCGTTTCTTAATTTAACTATAAAAATATAATTAATAATAAACCTACAAAATGTTTTTATTTTTTTGTTTTTCTTTTCAAGTTTTATGCTCCTGCTTTTTAAGGGACATTTTCAACATTTTACACTAATTATAACACATCCTTTTTTCCAGATTTTTTTTCTTGATTTTAGTTTAATGTATTTATTTTACTAAACTTTTTTATTTATATTATGTACTCGTAGTATTTTATTTGTAAATTATTTTGTTATTTTTTTAATAAATTTTTAAGCCATCAAGTTATCTTTGAGATATTAATGCTAAACGTAAAAATGCACAGACATTCTGGGAATGTTGTTTTAAATTTAAAGTAGTTTTGTATCTTATTATTAATATTTGAATAACTGTTATTAATTGTACAATTAGAGATCCTATTGAGTTGGCATGCACTATACCAGTGAGTAAAAGTAATTTTGAAATATCCATGGTGGAAATTTTCGACTTGCCCGAAGAGAGGAATGAAAGGAAATTGCGCACTGTTGAACCTGATGAAAGGGTTACTGAAAGGATAAGACAATATAATTTTTGATTATAAAAGTTCTTAATAAAAACTTCCATACAATATTCAAAGTATAATCAAACTGATTTTTTAAGAAGATTGATAATTATGTAATTCATTTAAATTATTTAAACTGTGAAGTTATTTTATATGATTTTACAATTAAAACTTACCTCTTGCCGGCACTGGATCCTTTTGCGGTGTACCCAATTCAATTTCTTTGTATTCCTGATATAATTCACCAATTGTGGCTGTGCAACGCAACACCAAACCACCACCGTGCACCGAATTCATGCCATAAACACTATGGCCATAAACCGAAGGATTTACACTGCTAAAATGAATACCCTGTAGTTGCAGCTTTAAACTAATGCGAGATGCAATCAAATTATCTATAGTGCGTATAAATTGTGTCTCAACGTTATTAACCTAAAAATAAAAAAATAAGAAGGAAAAAATTACATAAATAGCTTTAAAAATCCTTAGAAAATTTAATAAACTACAGTATAACTTAAAGAAATATTAATTGAATTTGGTTTTAAGTTTATTTAACATTCTATAGTAAATTTTATGTAAGAAAACCACCTTTTGCTCACACCAAACAAACCTTTTATAATAAACAAACAATAAGTTTTTTTTTTTGTAAGTTTTAAACAGATTTTCTGTTGTTGTTGCAGGCTTTAGGGAAAATTGCAATGTTGCAAATTTTATCAACAAGGCCTTAAGCTGTAAGACTCATCAACAGAAAAAAATATAGTAAAAACCTCAACCCTCTCAGCGCATAATAAATGAAAGGAAGAAAAAAAATCTGCAAAAACGCTAGAAGACTTATACCTATTACACATGCACACTAACGTAATATGTTTGGCAGCAGTTAAAAAGAAAATCCCGGTAGTTTGCGGTGGAAATCCTATGTTTTAAAACTTAAAAAGGATTCTTTACAAATTACAACCACAAACCGATTACAAAGACTCCAATATAGATTACATATACATATGTATATGTTTATATAAATAACTGCTTTTTTATAATGAAAAATCGATAAATGATATCTCCTTTCAAAGTATACGTGAGTCAAATAACACAAAAGTATAAATATTTGTTAGTCAATGGTCAAAAAAGGATCTAAAACTATATATTTACACGTTAGTCGATCAAATAATTAGATATTTCGAAGAAATAGTTTTTTTTTTTTTTTTTTTTTTTTTTTTTTTTTTTTTTGTAAACCATACATTAACTTGTGATACTGCTGGGTTATACGATCAAAACTTTTATAAACACAGACACACAATCGCACTAGAGACACTTGGGGCATTTACTTGAATAATGTGTTGTATAGTGTTGCTGCTACAGCCGCTTTGTTGCCATTGTGGCAGCAACTGTTATGTTATCGGTAGAAATGTACTACTACAAAATATACAAGTATGAAAGAAGTATTATTTAGTACTTAGTACTATGTACATAATCTTAATCTACTATAACTACTATTGCTACTCATAATACTATTCCACTACAATATAACACTGCATCTAAATTTTTAAAAGTAGAAACTTTGCAGTTTTATATTTTTTTGAGCTAATAAATAAAAATGTTTGTTGTAAACAGCTGAAATACGTATGTAGTTATACCCTACACCATTTTAGTGGGGAGGGTATATTGGGTTTGTGCTGATGTTTGTAACATACAAAAATATTCATCCTATACCCACCTTAAAGTATACCAATCGGCTTAGAATCGTTTTCTGAGTCGATTAAGCTATGTCCACCCGTCTGGCTAATCTTGTGCGTAAGGTACAGGTCGCAATTTTCAAGATAATTAGATGAAATTTGGCACGCACGTCCCAATAAAATATTATGTAAATATAAATATATTCACAAAATTTTATCGGGCTTGGTCCATATTTGCCCCTAGCCCCCATATAAAGCGTCTTTCAGAAAATTAGTTTTTCATCCATAAATTGCTTTAATCTATCGGAACAAGGTAATATTGAAGATAAATGCTTTATTATGAAAAATAAATCACATTTAATATTCATAACTGGTGTAGGGTATCATATGGTCGTCCACGCCCGACTATACTTTCTTAATTGTTTTTATTATAGGTAGTATTTTTTGGATCAGCTGCATATTTTTATTACTATTTTTAAATATTTACTTGTAAACCATTACCACCCAGTCATAGTTAGACTATTCAAATTGAATCCAAAATGTTAGTGTTATCATCTTTTACGCAAATTTTGAAATTTTGGAAGCTCTTAATTTTAAAAGCTATATTTATATAAAGAATTGTTTACTGTAATCATGTTGCTGTTTAAATCAACAAACAGATGGACTTTACTCATTATAGTGTATTTGATGGTATGATAATGGATTGTGGAAGAGGAAGTAAGTAGTGTTATTGGGAATTTTTTACATCGCGTTTGATTCACATACAGATAGCGTAGCTGAAAAGAAAAATATTTCTATAGTGTACTGTATCGTCTACAGTCAAATCACCAGCGGGTAAAGGAAACAATTTTTGAAAAATAATAAAAATTGTATTATCAATGAAACAGTAAAATATTTAAAGGTAATTTCAAACGCTCTTTAAGCTCTAGTATGAAAAAATTTAAGATTGTATTTTATTTGTATATCACTGACTCAACCAGATTACTTTAAACTTATAAAATAAGTTTAAAAGATACTAGATCTAAGAAATAACATGTTTTTTCTTTTGGCCAAATATTACAAAATATAAATTTTTTCCACTCTTGCCATCATTAAAAACCAAATTTATTATTTATTGTGTGCTATTTCACAGAGCCAATTTTATATAATTTTCAACATTTATTATTTACTCTTACCGTTTAGTTAAGTGGTCAGTCACATTTTTAGTGAGACCTTGAATTGTTTTTGTTAGACCAATCAAGTTTACGTAAAAATATTTTTGTGCTATTCAGTATATTGAGCTAAAAGCTAAATTGTGGTTTTACTTATTTTTGTGAAAATATGTATATGTATGTGTTTCCCAGCAAACAAAGAAGATTGATATTTAATAAAGTATTTCAACAACTAAAAAACGGTTTGTTTTCGTAAGGAAATAATTCTCTAAGAAGACTGTAAACGGGGAGAACGTTCCCCCGTTTCTTTACAGGCAGAACTAAACGTTTTTGCTCTGTTACTACATAATATCGAATATCGAGATATTTAAAATTTTGTCCACAATCAATCAAATTCTTACAGAAGATGTTTTAGAAAGACCTTAGACTCCTTCCAAAAGACTTCATTTAAAATTCAAATATGCACTTGGAATTCAAATATGGTTACCTTTTCAATTATTCCTATATTGAAAAAAAAACCTGATATCCTTACAAATATATTTCCTAATAACACTCGTTAATGGTTTGCTACCGCAGGTCTTCAACTTATCTCAAATTTGTATGATTCTTCCTATGTGCATATTTTATAATGCAGATATTTACTTAAGTAGGACTTCTAACAGATATTTAACGGATGTTCTTGTATTTGCAGAATATGGCATTTAGTAGGACGTTTTACTGCATATTTTTCGTGCTGGGAGTAGTTGTTGCGTTTCTATTGAATTCTTTCAGTAAACGCACTCCTGTTTTATACATGCGAAATAGAAAAAAGTGCGAGTGTTTAGTTCTTACCTAAAATTACCTCTGATTAATTTGCTTTTGTTTAATCATACCATTACACAAACGAACACGAATACACATTAGGGTTATAACTTTTTTTTGGGCGGCAAAATACCACAGCACTACCTTATAGCCAATACTGTCCTGATAACGAAAGGTTATTTTTTAAGTTTACTAAAATTATTTTATTAATTTTAATGTATACAATTATCTATATAATATTATAGCGATTTATTAGAAATTTAGAAAAATTAATATCATATTCCTTAACATATGTCCATGTCTTACAAGACCTTGCTATGGTATTTTTGATATTCGCTAAAATTGTAAAGAAAGTAATAACCCTAATACACATACATAATTTTAAACCGACACGTGGATTTTATTAGAAACCTGCAGATGTTTCTAATAACATCAATAGGATTATTTCCTAAAGAGGTGTAAATTGGCGGAAGTATTGCATTGTGTAAATATTGGTAAATATAATTAACAAATAATACAATTTCTCTATCAGGGTAGCTGCCACTTAAATTTTAATGAATTGGATTCTGTCAACGCTATAAGACATTTTCCAAATTGCCGAAATTTAAGCATAACTTTTTCTTCGAAAAATACATGTTGGTAATTTCGTGTCAAGTGATTAAATTCGATGTTTTCCGATTTGGATGAAATTTGCATTAATATTAGTACTATTGAATAATAGGCCAGACACAAATTTCCAGCTCTATCAGTCATTAATTGCCGGAGTGCCCTCAAACTCCGGTCATACAGAGTTTTATTCAAATGAGTGCAACTTTTCACCTACTGGTCCTAGAAAAATTGAGTGCCAAATATTGAAAAAGTCTTATTCTTAAGTTAAAAAATATTTTTTTTTGATAGATATCCCACTCGCATCCCACTCTAGGACTATAAAGCCCTTAAAGGAAATTGTCTAAGCTTTCTTTTAAGAAAAAAAGGAGTTTTTTGAAAAAAAAAAAGAATTATTTAAAAGAAAATAAAAAAAAAATTAAAAACAATCCTTTGGACAAATTTTCCTAGGACCAATAGGTGAAAAGTTAGACTCATTTGAATAAAACCCTATATAACGAAAATGTCCATCTTTGACCCCCCCCCAACTACGGCAGTTCTTGACCGATAGAGCTGAAAATTTCTGTCGGTTCTATCCAATAGTACTAACCTTGGTGCAAATTTCATCAAAGTCGATTTTTTGAGTTGGTTCACTTGACATGAAATTTTCCATATACTTGTACGACTAATAATGATCTCCACTAAAATGTGAGTATAATTTATATAAACACCCTTTATTTTCTGCATACATACATGCCAGAATTTAGGTTTTTGAATAAAGTTTATTCGCATTTCACATTTTTTTGTTTTTTGGACTCAACACAATTTTCAATGAACTTTTATTATGTGCCACAGCACATAATTTGTGGTATTTGATGATTTTAGCCTGCACTGCTTTCTGTTATTTTTGTTAGTCTAGTTATAGTTGCGTTCATTTTGGTATTTTTGTATTTTTTTTGTAAATCCTGCGTTATCCTTAACATGTTTTGTTATGCATGTTTGTTAGTAGTAAGTAAGTTTCGTGGTATTTTTTATTTTGTTTCAAATATTTTAGCAAATTATTTAATCGTATGTAAATTTTAATTTTATATAGATTTTAAGCTCTATACATGTATGGTGTTGTTTTTTGATAAAAGTAAATAAATTATTGTTTTCATATTATATGAAGGTTTAAAATATATTCCGGTAAATTGGTATTGATTATTAATGTATTGGAAGTAATTTA